TTCCTTCCTTCCTTCCTTCCTTCCTTCCTTCCTTCCTTCCTTCCTTCCTTCCTTCCTTCCTTCCTTCGGTAGGATTCATTTTTTTTTACTACCGGTTCTGTGGGCATGGCTTGGTGGGCATGGTAGGGGAAGGATACTGTAAAATCTCCATTCAGCTGGGACTCAGGAGGCAGAGAACAGATGGGGGCAGGCGCAGTCAGAGGTGGTATTTACCGGTTCTCCAAACTATTCAGAAATTTCCCCTACCGGTTCCCTGGTCAGAACCTGCTGAATACCACCTCTGCTTCCTTCCTTCCTGTTAGAATGGGGTATTGCAGGCTGACTCTGCCCATAGCCAGGAGTTCGATCCTGAACGACTCAAGGTTGACTCAGCCTTCCATCCATCCAAGGTTAGTAAAATGAGGACCCAGATTATTGGGGGCAACAGGTTGACATTGTAAACCATTCAGGCAGCGCTATAAAGCACTATAAAGTGGTATATAAGTCTAAGCGCTATTACTACTCCTTATCCTAGGTTGGACCAGTCCCTCCACCAAACCCTCAAGGCTCACCTTGGATGTCGGCAAGCTCTTGTCCGAGGCCGTCATAGTATATTTTCCCACCCCTCTCTGTGGGGAAGAAATAGGTCATGAGGGAGCTAGGAGGGGAACAGTAGGAGTAAGACCCCAAAGGGAGATCTTTGAGGACCTCGTGAGGCTTCCAGCAAAACTCCTGGAAGTGAGGATGGTCCATAATTTTGCGCTCCACCTCGTGGATTGTCAACAGGCGCTCGGAGGTGAAGATGTTCTTCTCGGCATCTCCCCGAGCGAGGAAGATGAGTTCGATGCGCCAGTGGGCGTGAGTCTGGGTGTTGGCGCTCACGGTGGCGCTCGGGAACTCCCACCGAGGGAGGGGACTTCGGGACTGGTGGGAGGTGTGGTTGGCTGGGCCGGCCTGATTCCGCCCCGCGTCCCTTCGCCGCCTCCGGGAGAGGCTTGGGGACCCCGGGCGCGAGGCGTTGCGCTGGAGGTGCTGCAGTTTCTCGAAAATCAGCCTCCGCAAAGTCTCCGAGCTGAAGTCGGCCAGGTCTCGGCGGCTGCGTCCCCACAGGCCGAACTGGGACTTGAGGGCCAGGGTGAGGGCATCGAAGCGCTCCGAGGACTCGTGGTTGCGGATCTCAAAGGCGTTGTACGAGATGTCGATGTCCAGAGCGGGGTAGTGGAGGAACATGGTCAGGGCCAAACCGACAGGAATGGCACACCCCAAGAAGAGGATGAGGCTGGCAGAATAAGGGTTGGTGAAGACCCAGCCCACCACGGTCCAAAAATCCGAGGAGGGGAGAGTCACGAAAGTGGCCTGGTGCCTGGGGTTCCACTGGCATTTCCCGCAGAGGCGGGACCCTCTGGTTTTCACGCCAGGGCCACAAGCCCCCTCTTCGTCTTCATTGCCACACACATCTTGCAATAAAGCGTCGTCCTCCGTGTCCATTCCTAGAAAGAGAAGAGGAGAATCAAGAGGTCCGAACAGAATTGGAGGCAAAGGGTTGAACTGCTAATTTAACACAAAGAACCGCTAAGAAACGGATGACACCAGCCAGGAAAAAAACTGAGGGGTCCTTGGTGCTCCCTGAGTTTGGTAGTTTTTTTGCAGGCCTTTCATCAGACAAACAAGGTAACATCATCAGTGCTAGTACTAAAGGGAAGGAAGGAAGGAAGGAAGGAAGGAAGAGAAGGAAAAGAAAGGAAGGAAGGAAAGAAAGAAAAGGAAGGAAAAGGGAGGGAGGGAGAGAAGGAAGGAAGGAAAAGGAAGGAAAGGAAGGAAAAGAAAGAAAAGGAAGAAAGGGAAGGAGGGAGGGAGGGAAGGAAGGAAAGAAAGAAAAGGAAAGAAAAGGAAGGAAAAGGAAGGAAGGGAGGGAGGGAGGGAAGGAAGGAAGGAAAAGGAAGGAAAGGAAAGAAAAGAAAGAAAAGGAAGAAAAAGGAAGGAAGGGAAGGGGAAGGAAGGAAAAGGAAGGAAAGGAAGGAAAAGGAAGGGAGGGAGGGAAGGAGGGAAGAAAGGAAGGAAAAGGAAGGAAAGGAAGGAAAAGAAAGAAAAGGAACAAAAAGGAAGGAAGGGAAGGAGGGAGGGAGGGAGGGAAGGAAGGGAAGGAAGAAAAGGAAAGAAAAGGAAGGAAAAGGAAGGGAGGGAGGGAAGGAAGGAAGGAAAAGGAAGGAAAGGAAGGAAAAGAAAGAAAAGGAAGTAAAAGGAAGGAAGGGAAGGAGGGAGGGAGGGAGGGAAGGAAGGAAAAGGAAGGAAAGGAAGGAAAGGAAGGAAAAGGAAGGAAGGAAGGAAAAGGAAGGAAAAGGGAGGAAAAGGAAGGAAAAGAAAGGAAGGAAAGAAAGAAAAGGAAGGAAAAGGAAGGGAGGGAGGGAGGGAGGGACCAAGGAGACATCTTCGGACAGCGCTGGCTCTTCAGCTTTGAAACAGAGATGAGCACCGCCCCCTAGAGTCTGGAACGACCAGTACATATGCGCGAGGGGAACCTTTACCTATTAAAAATTCCAGCTGGGTTTTTAAAGTGAGACGGGGAAACAGCTCCTTGCATTTCATTGGCCCGCCTCCTCTTCCATAGACTCCGTACAGGTTTTATATTTATATCCCCGACCGTGAGCCAACTCAATCCATCAAAGATTCTGCCTCCTAAAATCACCTCATTAAGACCCTTTTTTTTTCTGAGAAAAATTATCAATCGAAAGAGAAGGAAGAAAGAGCGGCGTGCCAAAAGAGACATGTTGTGTATAAATATAACCCTTTCTCACAATCATCCAGCGTTTCTTCTTTATTAAGAGCTTTCAGATCTTTCCTGGCAAACCTCCCAGGATTAAAACAGGCTTCACGTCTGCGAGTTGATATCTTGCTGTTTCTAAGAAGCCAAAAGAGCGTCCAGGAGGAGGGGATTTTTCCCAAACGGAACCAACAGTGTATTTTTTCAGCCTTTCCACAATGGGGAATCTCTCATTTGGCCTGCGGCGTTCCGATGTTTGCGCTTGCCGGCTTCTCATTTAGCGCCGGGCTCCAGGGATCGAAAACTAACAGACCCCAAAGTTGGTAGCAGCCGAGAACAACAACCAATCAAATCTTCTTTTGCATGTTTTGGGTATTGGCTAGTCTAGGGGAAAGGACGACTGGGGGTGTTATGACAGCAGTATTCCAGTATTTGAAGGGGTGCCACAAAGAAGAACGGGGTCAACTTGTTCTCCAAAGAACCAGAAGGCAAGGCAAGAAACAGTGGATGGAAATTAATCAAGGAGAATCAACCAATCTCCTGCTTGAGCAGGAGGTTGGACTAGAAGGCCTCCAAGGTCCCTTTCAGGTCTATTCTGAGTCCATCCTAGAACTAAGGAGAAATTTCCTGACAGTGAGAACAACTAATCAGTGGAACAGAAGTTGCCTCCNGAGAGAGAGAGAGAGAGAGAGAGAGAGACCCCGTGTCATGGTCCACTACAGGGCTGCTGCGGCCTGTTTGAAACCAGGCCATGGGAGATACGGGCAAACGTGGATGTGTGAAGTGAAGTGGAGGACGTGTGCACCCGTCGCATGCACAAATGAAGCTGTGCACACAGGCCCTCCACTCACATGTCCCCTGCCCAAGCTGGAATGGTTGGGGGCCGTTGCATCAGACACGTAACTCTGAATGCTTGTTTAATCTTTGCATTCACGGGGCCTGGCCTGCCCCGACGTGACTCAAACACTGGCTGTGTTCACACCTGACCACAGAACACCAGAGACTCCATCGGAGCTGAATCTTGTGTGATCCGTCCCTGCGGAAAGCTTGAGCATCTCCATTTTATTCTTCAGCCCCAGCAGAACAAAGAGCCCTCAAGCAGGCAGGCTCCTTTTGAGCTGCGGCTACCGAGTGGAGGCTTGCATGTAGAAAACTCGCTCTGCAAGGTTTCCTAGCCCAGCCGTCGCGACTGTTTTAAGTTGACTTGAAAATTTATTCTGACCCGCCTCTCCTGGAGCCACTAACCTCAGCTCCCAATGGCCGGAACCCCACCTTGCCTTTGTCCCTGAGAGGCTAACTTTCTACAGGAGGAGAGCCACGAATGTTTCATCCATTCCTGCATAGTGAAGGGATCCACATCAACCCTCCGGACTGGAAACTCAGGCGGGGAAGGAGCAGGGCAGAGCCTCCATGCTCACCTGGTCGACTCCTTGGCCAGCAAGGCAACGTAGGTGACCACGAAGTTTTGAAACTTCCGGCATTGCTCTTCCCAGCGGTCATCCATGGAATAGTAGCTGGGCAGGGGGGCGCCAAAGAGCACCTCGCTCCGCAGGAGGGAGCTCTTCTTGTTCTCGGCCGAGAGACCCTCGTCCACGTACCAGTAGAATTCCGGGTGGGTCATGGCCAGCTCGAGAGACCCTGCGGGGAAACAACAGAGTGACAGAACCACAGAGATGGAAGGGACCTTGGAGGTCTTCTAGTCCAACCCCCTGCTCTGTACCACACTTCTGGAGCACACTTCTGGAGGCAAATCTTTCCAAGGGTTCCAACCAGGTGTGAAATGCTACCGGTTCAGACCACTTCACCCAAACCGGTAGTAAAAAATTGCTACCAGTTCTGGCGAACTAGTATTTCCGACGATCAGCTATGACACGTGATTTATATTACCGTATTTTTCGGACTATAAGACGCAGTTTTGTCTCTCAAAAGGGGGTGAAAATGTCTGTGCGTCTTATAGACCAAATTTTGTCGAAGCCCCTCCCACCCACCGGCCATTTTTTGGGCTCCACACGCCCCTTTTTCAGCCCATTTTGGAGGCTTTTTTCAGCCTGTTTTCGAGGCTTTTCTCAGCCCATTTTCAAGGCTTTTGGGGGGCATTTTTGAGGCTTTTCATGACCCATTTATTAGACTTTTTTTGGCCCATACTTTAGGCATTTTTCAGCCCATTTTCCCCAAAACAATGGGCTGAAAAAAGCCTTGAAAATGGGCCGAGAAAAGCCTTGAAAACAGGCTGAAAAAAGCCTCAAAAATGGGTCAAGAAAAGCCTCAAAAATGAGTCAATAAAGCCTCAAAAACGGGCTGAGAAAAGCCTCAAAAACATATCAGTCCCCGCCCCCCAACGGGCCGAACACAGGCCAAAAAACCTCGAAAATGGGTAGAAAAAAGGCTGGGAAAAGGCAGAAAAAAGCCCCCCAAAAGAGCTGAAACTGAGGTGCTCAGAGGCCAACCCCCCCTTTTTTTCCTCTTCTAAATTTAGGTGTCTCTTCTAGTCAGGTGCGTCTTATAGTCTGAAAAATATGGCAGCTAGAATCGTCGGATTTCCTGGCATAACGGATTCCCACCCACCCCCAATCGCTCTTCTAGTTACCTCGGCAGGTGCACTCAATAGCAGGCTCCGTCCACCCACCTGGATGTCATCGTGTTGCATTTTTGATGCTCTGCGCATGTGCAGAAGGTTCTGCACAAATCACGCATGCTCACCTTTGCGAACCGGTTAAGCACAGGTTAAGTTGATTTCACTCCTGGCCCCAACTGCCAGGAAATTTCTCCTTAGCAGACTGGGGAGGAACTTCCTTCTTTGCCCTGCTTTGCTATTTATTCGAGCATCCTCCAGGCTTCAGTATGATTCCCAGCATGCTCCACAGAGCATGAAAACACGGTGCTTGGAGAGAAGCAGTGGTGGAGTTGCTTGCTTTCTTCTTCCCTCCTCCTACGCCTCCCCTCTTTTATTGGCTCTGGCTAGTTTGGCCCCAGGGGAGCAATTATTTTAAGCGGACTATGGGGTAGGCAGGAGCTCTGGAGACTCTACGAAAGGAGCCCTGGTGGCACAATGGTTAGAATGCAGTATTGCAGGCTGGCTCTGCCTGCTGCCAGGATGTTCGATCCTGACTGGCTCAAGGTTGACTCAGCCTTCCATCCATCTCAGGTCATAAAATGAGGAGCCAGATTGTTGGGGGCAAGAGCCTTCCTTCCTTCCTTCCTTCCTTCCTTCCTTCCTTCCTTCCTTCCTTCCTTCNACTGGAAGTCTTTAAGAAGATGTTGGATAGCCATTTGTCTGAAACGGTATAGGGTTTCCTGCTTAGGCAGGGGGTTGGACTAGAAGACCTCCAAGATCCATCTTCAGATTGATTGATATATCAAGGAAGAGTACATTTCATCATTAAGGTGGGTCCTCTTCTCCTGGTCCTAATTCCACCAGATATGACCACTCTATGTCTTCAATCACCCTTCCCATAGCCTCACAGCTAACGGCCAGGGATGATGGGAATTGATGTCTGATTCTTTCCGGAAGACCACAGAAATGATGGTCTTTTGTTTGTCTTCTCAGAAATAAACTCCCCTCAATTCCACAGGAGGCACCCATGCCCAGGAAAAGAGAGAGAGAGAAAAATTACAGCTGAAATATTTTAAATTTTAACCATTCAAGATGGCATGAAGCCCTAGTATGAACTCTTGAAATCAAGATCCCCGGGCTTAAGTATATCTACACACAGTAGATGTATGTGTGTG